AATGTCTCTATGTTGAGTTGAAAGGTTTCAAAGTCAGGTGATTTTATTGTCGGGTTAAGAGTTGGTGCACCATATATACAACAAACAAAAATTACGCTGATACTAAAGTGTATGATTATTAAGTAAATACAGTTGTTGCGTAATAAAAATCACATTTGAAACTAAATTTCCTTCCCTCCGTCCAATATTAAGTTTTTCAAATTTGCATGACGATCTTCAAGCCAATAAAATTTAAATTTTGCATGATATCTGGAAGGGAGATTGCCACAAAATTTAGCCAATGAAATCAAATGTCCACTATGTTGTGTTGTGCCATTTATGGTTCCAATAAACTTTCATTGGAACATTCCAATAGTGTTATGGTTGGCTCAGTCTAAAGACCTCCTATTGCTGCGCCATGCAGACAAATTTCAGAATAGCAATTTTGTAATTCGTTCAAAAATGTAATAAAATTTTTCAAAAAATAGGACTTCACGTGATTTTGGTTTTCTTACTGCCAAATTTAAATAAGATAGTCAAGATCTAGTCTAAATTTAGTAGTATTTTTCTTAAATTTAGAAATGATCATAGTGGACAAATTCCTCGCAAGCATAGTAAAGTACATGTTTTAAAAAAAAATAGAACTCTACAACAAATAATTTTTTGAGAAAATCTCTATTACATTAAAACTAAAGACATATTCTATCAACTAATAGAGCTATTTTTTAAAAAGGTAGGACAGAAAGTGACTTCTATACTTTTAAAATTTGCCCAAAATTTAGGTGGTCTTTAGACCGAGCCAACTATACAATGTTCCAATTGCGCAACACTGTATGTATGTAACACAAAGATCTACTAAAATGTAAATGATAATTTCTAGGATTGTATAACCAATCATCTTTCGAATTCGCAATACAATATGCCAAACTCCAGACATAAATAATAATAATAAATAAATGATGAATATTTTCATTGCTGCATAAGTTATATTTTTATGCTGATCAAATTTTAAATTATACACTTTCGTTAATTAATTAAATACATTACATGCCTTTAAACTACGTAAACATTTGCATTGCACTCTACGACTACACAGCTCAGAATGATGACGAGCTCTCGTTTGAGGAAGATAATGTTTTATATATTTTGGAAAACGACGATGAAGAGTGGTGGAAGGCAAAACTAAAGATCAACGGTGATGAAGCTGATAATGGCCCAATCGGTCTAGTGCCTGGAAATTATCTTCAGGAGGTCTGTCATTTAAAACCGTGGGTTAATTTGATTAAAAAAATATATATAGATCGAAGCAACTACGGCAGCATCTTTTTGCCACCCAAAATCTGTTTTTTTGGAAACAAATTAATCCCTCTTTTTCTTTTTCTATTATTTAGGCGGAACACACGGATACGCTGAAAGCTCTTTTTGATTATGAAGCAAAGAATGACGACGAGTTAACCTTTAAAGAAAACGACTTGATGTATTTGTATGAGAGAGACGATGATTGGTTTTTGGTTAAATTGGGTGACTCTTTCGGTTACGTTCCTAATAATTATGTAGAGGTTAGTATATCTTTTAAAATTTCCTTTTCTCTTTCCTTACACATATGCTTATAGATATTTAATTTTTATAAAGATAAAAGATGAACAAGATGAACAAGATGAACAAGGTGAACAAGGTGGACAAGATGTTAATTATGAGGAAGAGAAAGAGAAAGAGAAAAGCGTGGCTAAACCAAAATTTTTATTAAATGGATTATCGGTATTTATTACTAAAATAATGACAATAATAATAAATGAATTTTAATCATAACTGTAATTATAATCAAGAAATCAAACAACCCCTTTTAGAATACATCAGATAGCACTAAATATGTTGATCCATTAAAAGTATATGCCCAACAAAATGTTCATAAAAAATCTGGTTTATCTTCAGATGTAAAAACTTGGCAAGTCACATTGATAACGGTAATTTACATAAAGTTTTTAATAATATTTCCAAAGTTAACCTTGAAACAATACTTTCATGTTATTTAAGTTGGTGCAGAATATTAATTACTTTGAAAAAATTTAGAAAAATGATAAGAAGAAAGAAAAAAAGAAGGGAACGATAGTTGTTGGAGATGGTAAAATTGTATATGCTAGTCAATCAGATAAGGTATATCGGTGTTTATTTATTTAATTTATGTGTTAAATATATTATTTATTTATTTTAACTATTTATATATATATATATATATACATATATTTTTTTAAAATAAAAAAAGGCACCAGTACAAGTTTTCAACATCACAGATATTATTGACATCAAACATGAGAAGAAACATATTATAATTCAATTTGGCGGAGCAAAGACGACAACATTTGATTTCCAATCAAACAAACACTCTGAAATATTCCAGAAGATCATAGATTGTCGCACTAGCTTAGAAATACCAACCGTTAAACCACCAATAACTACCAGTATAGATGTCGAGAAGGAGGAAGAGGAGGAGGAAGAAGAAGAATATGAACAAGAAGAACAATACGATGAAGAAGAGGAAGAAGAACAAGTAGTAGAACCGCAACGCGAATTACCGACACCGAAACGAGGAGTTGCTTTATATGATTTCAATGCACAAGGTGATGATGAAATATCAATTCGTGAAGGTGATAAGTTATGGATTATTGATGATGTCAGTAGCGATGATTGGTGGAGATGCAGAAAAGGTGAAGAAGAAGGTGTTGTTCCATCTTCATATATCAAGGTAAGGATTTTTTTAAGAATCAAATTATTATTATTGCTTTTGATACAAGTTGAGTTAATAACAAAAAAACTCCTTCAAAAGATTTTACCAGAGGATCACGATGATGATGATAATGATAATGAAGAAGAAGAAGAAGAAGAAGATGCTGCTGCTGCTGCTGCTGCTGCTGCTGCTTTTGAAGAAGAAGAACGTAGGAGAATAGCAGAAGAAGAGGAAGAAGAGGAACGTGCCAGGAAAAAAGAAAGAATTAGACAACTAGAAGAAAAAAGGCTTAGGGAACAAGAAAATCAGAGAAAAGCTTTACAAAAACCACCTACTCCTCCTCCTGCCTTACCTAGTAATGACCAATTAATTTATTTGTTATGCCCATTAAACTTTGATTACTTTAATTGTCTTATTGAAAAATAACAATTTCCGTACAAATTTATTTATAAATAGCACGACCATCCGCTCGTTCCAAGTCTGCTTCAGGTATATACTAATTAAATCAGCTATAATTTTAATATTATAACACTTTTATTAGATTTTAATCTTTTTTTTTAAAAAATTAATTATAAAGAAGAGGAGGATGTTATAAAGAAAATACAAACTCCAACAAATCGTGCATTACCTGAAAGACCAGCTCAAGCACAATCTAAATCCAGTCAGTATTCAATGATCGTCATGCTTATTTATTTTTATTTTTAAATTTAAATTTATATAATGCTTTATCTTTTTCAATTCTTTAGAGCCTATTCCATCAAATACTAGAACTTGGACTGATAGAACAGGAACATTTAAAGTAGAAGCGGAATTATTAAATGTTGATGATGGGAAAGTATATCTTCACAAACTTAATGGTAACAAAATAGCAGTACCACTTGATAAGATGAGTAAACGAGATCTTGTTTATATTGAGGAGGTGACTGGCGAAAAATTGGATGATAATAGTGATGATACACCATTAGCAACAATAGCTGCTGCGCATAAAAACAAGTCGGCATTAACCAATAATAATAGTAAGGAACAAAAATATTCTGATAAAATAAAAAAAAATGTTAGTTTTGGAGATACAAGTATTATTATTCAGGATAATGATAAATATTCTAATGCGACCAAGGTATGTATATCTGATAGAATACATAAATTCGATATTATAAAATATAATGTAATATAATATTAATTATTATTGGTAGTCTGAAGAAATTGAAAAGCCAAAGCATATGTCAGAATTTGATCGTAAAATGCAGTTGAAACGTGATGAACAATTGGCTAGAGAACTTCAAGAAGAAGAGAACAGAATAGCAAGGAGAGAAGGACGACCAATTCCCAAAGATGCAGACCCATATTCTAATTTGGATTCAATTATACAACGAGAAGAAAAAAAACCAGCATCACAATCTACATCACAATTGTTCACGGCTGATAATGGAGTACTGAAAAATAATACAAAGAAAACTCGGCCACAGCCTACCAAGTCCGCCTCAATTCAAGTTGATGCTTTAAGTCTACAAACATCAAAAGATAAAATTGAAGCAGCATTTAAACCATCAGGATCAGTCACAGCGTCATCAACTTCAATGAAATCAAAATCATCAATTATAGAAAATACATTTGATGATGATGCATGGGTTAACAATAATTCATCAAAGCTTTTTGCTGCAACTCCAGTAAAAAATTCAGCAACAACAGTATCATTAATATCAAGGGATAATACGCCGACATCGCCGCCGCCGCCACCACCGCCACCACCACCACCTCTTCCAGTATCAACACCAGCACCACCGCCACCACCACCACCACCAGCACCACGAATGCTTGTTCCTATGAACTCAGTTCTCCAAGCACCCCTAACACCAATCAAAACACCATCGCCATCATTAAACGTTAACCCGTATGGACAACAATCTTCTACTCTAAATCAATTTAATCAGTTTCAATCTTCAAACTCCTCATTAAACATTAATCCGTATAGCCAACTATCTCCTTCCCAAAGTCAATTTAATAATCAATTTCAATCTTCAAACCCCTCCTCATTAAACATTAATCCATATGGCCAACAATCTTCTTCTCTAAATCAAATCCAACAATTTCCAAATCAACAACAACAAGTCACACAATTTGATCCACAAAACGTTTTTGCATCAATGAGAAAAGGCCAAATTGGCCCTGGGGCTTCAACTAACATGGCGAGCACTAATTGTAAGATTATTTTTTTGTTTATTCTATTTATTAATGTGTGAAAATGAAATTAAATATTTTTATACATGTAACAATAGCTTCGGATGATAAATATGCTATTTTCAGACAAATCGATCCTAATTCACAAAGTGTTTTTAATAATACATCACAAAACATAAATCAACAAGGTAAAATTTTGATTAATAAAAAACATTATTGTTTCCTTTATATTAACAATATTATTATATTGTAATATACCAGGTGTTGGTGTAAATAATGCAGGTTTTGGTGTAAATAATGCAGGTTTTGGTATAAATAATGCAGGTTTTGGTATATCACAGCCAAATCAATTACAACAACAGAATCAACAATTATTATTGCAACAACAGCAACAGCAACTTCAACTTCAACAGCAGCAACTTCGACAGCAACAGCAACTTCAACTTCAACAGCAGCAACAGCAGCAGCAACAACAACAACAACAACAATTTCAACAAAATTATACCAAAAGGGTAAGAATATAAAATTAATAGTTTTTTGAGATTGAATTTTTAGGATTTTTACTAATATTAAATTCTTTTTATTATTATTAGTGGTAGATTTCATATATAAGATAGATGATTATCCATTATTTATTTATTTACTTATTTATTTATTTATTTATTATTATTGTATTTAAATTTGAGTTATTATTTATCATTTAAAAATTTATTTATTATATACACAATTCAAAAAAACAACATTTAATGAATGAATGAATGATCTTTAAAAAAACATCGAATGCGGAAATAAATTAAATATAATAATATGCGCATTTATTGTTATTATCATCATATCTAACTATTAAATCTCACAAAATAAAGAGGGAAAAAATAATTAATTATTAATTACCTATAAAAAAAAAATATATTTTATATAAATGTATGTATGTATGAAGATTTTATGGTTGCTTTCATTTAAAATAACTACTAATCAACCAATCAATCATAATAAAACCTTCTCCTAATAATATATGGACATTGTCATTGTAAAAACAATTAATTAATTAACAACAAACAACAAGCATTTTAATTAATAATCAGCAGCCCAACCATTTTTATTTAAGAAATCTTCTATTGCTTCTTTTAATGCTAAATTTGGATACAACTTATCTTCAGTGCAATGTTCTCTTGAAAGAGGATCAAAATATCCTATTTTTTTAAAATGTTCTTTTAAATGTGCCCTTTCATAAGTAATTCCTGAGGAAGTGACCACCGGATCATGCATAATATTAAACGATATTTTATCCAGAAAATAATCAGGAACTTGTCTCGGTCTAAGATTTTCGTCAGATTGTGCAAACACTTGTTCTATTTGAGAAAGTTTCTCATCATACGATTTATATATGTGATCCAATTTATCTTGGACATCTTGTGAATAATTTCCAACAAATTTTGAAAAGGTAGAAATATTTTTCGGTGTAGCTTTCTGTAGTTGTCTATCTCTATCAGAGATAATCAAACTTTTTAGGTATTTTAATAATTCTGATTCTTTTTGTATACGTTCTTTCTCCTGTTGTTCCCATCTTCTTTTTCTAGCATTCAATAGAACTTGAAGGATTTCACTTAAAAAACCTCCCACTTTACCCTCAATTGCTAGTTGATAAGCTTTCCGTAGGTGTACAATAGCTAATTCAAAATCTTTTTTTTCTGTTAAAGCTTGACCTAACATGTAATGTCCTTTGACTGAATTGGCATCTTTTTCGAGAGCGGTTTCGCAATCTAATATTACATTATCATACTTTTTCAATTTAAGGTAGCAAAGTGCACGATTAGTATAATATACAGGATTCCTTGGATTTTGTTTAATAGCTGCTGTATATTCTCTTATCGCATTATCATAATCATTTCTTTTAAAAAAATTGTTTCCTTTATTTTTATGGTGTTCTGCTGATCGGGATTCCTCTGTATTATTTGACATTTGTTATATTTTCTTTTGGAATAATAGAAAAACAAAAAAGATGAAAATTTTTTAAATTTTTAATATATGGGGGCGGTGTGCTGTTAATAAAACAACAAAACAAAGAATAAACTTTAGTGGTACAAACAAGTGAATAATCATGACATCCCCATACACAAAATGTTCACGTACTTTTTGGACAAAATTTCAGAAATTCATGTGTAATTTTGGCTAAAAAAATTTATTTCATATACTAATATAGTATACGATACGTAATAAGGGGTTTCCTAAAAAGAAAATGTCCAAATATTAATTAATATCAATCCCAGGACAGAGCTTATTATTAATATTGTTATTTTATGTCACTATTCGGGGACTTTTGTGTTAATTAAAAAAGTCCATATTTGGAAAATAAATATATTTGCGAGTTTTGCCCTTCTTTTAGTCTCACGAACCTATTAAATGATTTTATTACAAGCCTTCTTTGAGCAAACTTTTTGTATTGAATGCAAAACGCTTGTTTATGAATATAGTCATTAGCCAATTTTTACTCATTTTCCATTTTCATAATTCAGTTTATCATCAAGTTTAGTTTTTTCTGGATTTAATAAAATAAAATGGCATTGAAAATTTTTAAGATTTAACAAAATATCCTGTGGCGAACCTCTTGAGCTATTATTAGCAAAATTAATTCATATTCAAATAAATTCGTGGGTTTCTGGTTTTTTCGAAAAATCTATCGTTTTTGGAAATTTTTCTATACATTTAATTGTAATAGTAATTAGTTATTTTGCGCCCACAATAATAGTAATTGTTCATGATATAATAATAGTAATATCGTTAATAAATAAACATAACGCTTTTACATGACCTTCAATTATTAATAAGAAACGGTTTAAAAGGTTTGTATTAATATTAATATTAAGTATTATAGTGTGATTTTATCTTTTTAATTTCCTATTATAGCAATAATACATAACAATTTAATAAAGATCTCCTGACCACATTGTAAATCATTACAGTGGCCCTACAACGTTGCATCAAAAAAAAATTTTCGATAATGATATTTGAATTTGAATAATTAACAAAGGGAATAGACATTAAAGTGCATCTGATTTATTCCAAATGATATTTATTATAAGTGATCAATTATTTTAATGCAAGAATCGAGGAGGGGCAACAACTGCAACGAGCACAACACTATTTGAATAATCCAAGATTAGAATATCAAAAGAAATTAGTGTATGCATTATGCATCTGGGTTAATTACCGAAAAAATGTATTTGGGATTGAAGAGCAATGTCATCAAACAACAAATATAAGATTTATTTATAAAAAAAGGCCATCACTCGTCTTTCAAAAACCATCTTGTAAAAGTTCCAAATAAGTTCAAGAATAAAATAATTATTGAGTTTGTTAGATCGAGTAATAAAACTATGATAGCTATTGGATCGGGTCAAGGTGTTAATTTGTGGAATGCAAATACAGGCGAGGTTAGACAACTTCCTAATAATACTGATAATAATAATACTCAAATATGGGACATATTAGTTAATGCATAAAAGATTAGGTCAATGAGTGGACATACTGCTTGTGTAAAGCCTTTGACATAGAATGTGATTTTGGATGTAGTAATGTTAGTATCTGGAAGAATGATATTAGGATCAGATCAAGATGTTAATTTGTGAGTGCGACTTCCTAATAATACTGATGATAATAATAATAGTAGAATAACAATTTGAAAATATATTTTCAGTCTTCTTTGGAGATCAATTAATGGAATAATAGCAATACTAAATATGGTACATACTGGATTAGATCAATGAGTAGGCATGCTGTTCATATAGAACCTTTGACATAGAATGAGCAAATCGTAGTTTGTGAGTGCAAATATGGGAGAGGTTAGATGACTTTCCAAAATAATACAGATATATATAGAAATAGATATATTTCCAGTCTTCCTTGGAAATCAGTTAGCTGTTGAATTGAGTAACGGCGATACTACATATTGAGTCCATAAAAGATTAAATCAATGAGTAATATACTGCTCGTATAGAATCTTTGAGATAGAACGAGCAAATTGTTGCTTCTGGACGTATGTACATATACTTCCAATTGGAGACGGAACAACAGATAAATTTCTGGGATGTAGACATGTCAGTATATAACAATTGATATCCAAGGAAATATTATTAACTCATATGTGTGTCCAAATACTTTAAATCCTTCATTAAAAAATTTCCAATGTTCGATGTCGTATTCTAAATTGAACTCCAAGTCCTGAAGAAAAGGAGGCGAGATTAAGGCTCTGAATGAGCCGGTTCACAAGCCAAATAACTTATTATGACATTGATTAATAATATATTTCCAAAAAAAAATTATATTTTTTGCCATCGAATGGGAAAAATAATATTAAAACATTGACAACTTCTTAATTTTAATTATACTCTTTTAAAAAGAGTCAAATGATCTTTTTGCTCCCTCAATTTGTTTTCCTAATTCTATATCACTGAAACAAAAATGCAACATCTTCCTTATAATTATTATATTATAAACAATAAAAAATCATGGATTACAATAAACTATTTCCAACCTTCTGGTAAATGTATTTGCTGAAAAATATAGACATCATTAATAGTAAACTACATGCTTTGGAAACAATAATGAAAATTTAGTTCCCACAAGGTTTTAGTAATTTTTTTTGAATAACAATCATCCTAAAACCTAGGAACCTATCATTATTTATTTCAGTCAATACATTGTAAAGAAAAAATTTTTTTTGTGATTTTAGCTGTTAACAAAATTAGTCAACATAGTTGGAAATTAAATTATTGAATTATGCGTTTAGAACAATTCTTCAATTTTAACAATTTTAGTAGAGCTTACGTATGAAGATTCGAATATTCGATGATGATTCGATTCAAAATAATCATAAAAATTTTTTTATTTGAAAATTATTATGCAAAAGGTTACTTGTAGAGTTATTATGTTTAAACATTTTCCCTTTTCGATTATTGGAACAAACTTTACACTTAGAAAACTCATCATGTTCACATATTAAAATTATAATAATCTCTAGCTCTCCCTCCACATTCTAGTTGATTGTGAGTTTTCTTCACACCTTTTTTTGCGGCTGGTTAGAACCAATTAAAATAGACGAAGATTTTGGTATTGCCATTATGGTTTCAGATGCGGTAGTTAATGCCCTTGAGCAATGCATTAATGTAAAAGAAATAAATTTAATGAAGCAACCAATAAAATTCTTCCCCTCTATAAATGCATCCCTCCATAAATGCACATTCCCAAGGGGGTGCACCTTTAATTACAATTAGAAGGTTTTCAAGGAAGTGCTGGCATTATATAAAAAAAGAATCAATTATAAAGAAATAAAATCCCATAGGGGAATACCAGATGGAGTAATAGAAGAAGAGTTGAACAAAATTAAAATTAATTAATTGTATTGGTTAGCAATGTTTTAGTTTTTTTTTACAATTTTTCTATTTTAAAATTTCTGACAGGCTCTTGTAATTAAATAAGAATAAATATCAGCATTTTTTGATGAATATAGGTGGTATGTA